CATTCCTGGAGGCCTGTAAAAAGTGAGAAATTCTGATGCCAATGTGGCTTAAAATGTAGCTTATAAGCACAGAAGGCCAAATGCTTAACTAAGAGGAAATTTTTTTGGAATCTCTTTTTCAGTCTTCAGTTTTCTTTTTGATGACAAATGTGGGTATAACAGTGAACATCTCCTTCTGAACCCAAGAAGAACCTCTGTGGAAAGCAGGGCTGGATTTCCTCTACTGTTGGCATCTGAACGCATGCAGGTTGGATGCTACACAACCCTGGATTACATCATTGGTGACACTGGGATTGCCAAAGGGAAGCACTTCTGGGCTTTTCGTGTGGAAGCCTATTCATACCTGGTGAAAGTGGGAGTTGTTTCTAGCAACAAGATACAGAAGTTGTTCCATAATACCCATGATGTGACAAGCCCAAGGTAAACTGCAGATTCTTGCTTACTACATATTTTATATAAGGAGATTGCTTTTTAAAAAATTAATAAATAGCAAGTATAATCTCAGTTAGTAAACAAGGGCAACCTAATCAGTGGAAAGTGGTTTGAAGGATACGGTATGAATAGTTTGTCCTGTTCATCCCCTACTGTTAGCAGAAAGATATTCTTATTGTCCAGAGTCCTATTTTCTTTCTTTTTGAGAAAGAAATTGGGTTCCTATATATGCTAAGATACGTAATTTAAAGCAAGAAGGTAAAAAAAATACGCATTGGTTGCAAGACTGAAGCAACTTAATTGTTGATAGTAAGACACTGCCTTAATTTCCTTATGATAGCAAGTCTGGCAGCTATTCAGAGGTACAATGTTCACTGTTTCTATCTGTGTATCTTTGCTGTAACCTGCGTCACGGTGGATTCCAAGCTAGGCTATACATTCGTGTATGGTACTGGAGTGCTACTGAGCACATGCCAAAGTACAGTGCACAAACCAGCAAAAAGACTTGCAGCTCTGAAATTACAGTTGTAGTATGTCTGGATGTGTCTAGGAACTGCAGTCTAGGAGGCTATCCCTGGGGACTCTAAATGTTCTCAGGAATCTAACAAATGTGTTTGCTTCCTTCTTTATAACTTCCTGGAAGTAAAAATGCCAGTGTACTGAGCTGCTTGAAGTCAGATGGATCCTTTTTGCAAAGAGAGAAATTGGATTCAGCTTTCTTTATCCACACAGATTTCTGGAATATTTTAGCTGGCACACATGCAGCTTCTCACCAAACATGCCAAAAACACAAACCTAGCTAGGGATTGTCTGCACAGAACAGTGTATGCTTCTCTAGTCTGTCTTTCTCTGGGAACAGAAGTTGGGCAAAAACCATTAGACTGAACAAATCTGGCTACAAACTTTCCCCAGTAATTCAGGGAAGACTACGGTCGGACTACTTTAAAAAAAACAACAGAACAAACAAAGAAACCCATCAAAACAACAAAACAAACCCCAACACAGCAAAAATTTAAACCACTGCTTTTTGTGTCATGAATTTTAAAGATAATGTAGTATATCAGTGGCATGGAAAACTCTTTTAACAGTAGTGCTGTGTGTATTTACTGGTGTTTTTTACCACCTCTACCTGGAGTATGAACTTCTACCTGGAGTACTGTGTCCAGGTCTGGAGTCCCCCACATATGAATGACATGGAGCTGTTGGAGCAAGTTCAGAGGCAGGCCACGAAGATGGTCAAGGGGCTTGAGCACCTCTCTTCTGAAGACAGGCTGAGAGAATTTGGGTTATTCAGCCTGGAGAAGGCAAGACTCTGGGGAGACCTTAGAGAACCTTCCAGTACCTGAAGGGGCTACAGAAAAACTGGGGAGCTGGACTTTTGACAAGAGCATGTAAAAATAGGACAAGGGGTAATGGCTTTGAAGTGGAAGAGAGAGAGATTTAGATTAGAAATTAGGAAGAAATTGTCCAGAGAAGTTGTTGATGCGCCTTCCCAGGAGTATTCAAGACCAGGTTGAATGGGACTTGGAGCAATCTGGTGGGGTGGAAGAAATTCACACCCCCCCCATGCAGGGGAGTTGTAGCTAGATAATCTTAAAGATCCCTTCCAACCCAAAACATTCTATAATTATGTAAAGAAAATTAAACATCTCTTGGTAGTGCTAGGTTAATGGTTGGACCTGATGGTCTTTTCCAACCAAAATGGCTCTATGATTCTGTGAATTCACTATATGCCTACTGATGTAGGTTCATTCATGATTGCCTAGCATGAGTACATTTAGATACATCCAGTCCTTAATAAGACCTTCTGTTGTCTCGTCCTAATTGGTGTTCAGCTGTTATTAATTGAAGTAGCTCAAGTGAGTTCTCCACCTTCTGAATACATCTTCCCTTCTGGCTTAGGTATATTTTTACCTCACAAGGTTTTGCAGGTAATTGTGTGGTGTTACATATCTTAGAAAATAGATTTTCTGCGGTTCACATCAGTACTCCTACTTCAGAATTTCACTAAAACAAATGATTATTTTTCTGTTCTAGATACGAACAAGACAGTGGCCATGACAGTGGGAGTGAAGATGCCTTCTTTGACTCATCACAGCCTTTCACACTGGTCACACTGGGCATGAAGAAGTTCTTTATCCCCACCACACCTACTGCCCCCAAGGATCCAGAGAGCAGAATCCTTCCCCTGCCATCACACTTGGGCATCTGCCTTGATTGTGACAAAGGCAAGGTGGGGTTTTACGACGCAGGCCTTATGAAATGCCTTTATGAGTGTGAGGTGGACTGCTCTGGCATAATGTACCCAGCGTTTGCCTTAATGGGTGGCGCAGCAGTTCATCTTCAGGAGGCCATCACAGCAAAGTACGGCGAGTACCATGATGACATCTAGTGCAGTCATCTCTTCCCGTTGCTGTTCTGAGATGGAAGATGAGAGCAGAATAATTCTACCATAGTTTTCAGTCCTGATTCATCTCATTGTGTCTACATATTGCTCTCAAGCCTCTAGGACATGGTTTTTTTAAACAAATGGTCCAGACGCTTCCCACACTGGTGGAAAATGTTCTTCCAGTAACTCTCTTGCCTTTCTTGTGATCTGTGCAATGCTGTTCTCCACAGACATTCTTTCCAAGGAAAGCAGGGAAGAAGTCTTGACTAGCAACGAAAATTACTCTTCAGGGGTAGAAATCTGCCTTCTATGTAACTTAAATCTTTACATAGCCGGTTTTGCATTTAGTGAAGTCAAAGCTGACAGCGTGTGATTACTATTGGCCTTTGAACAAATCTGCCTGAGTGCCTCTGAGGGGTGAAATACTTTCCAGTTAATACCTGAGCACCAGGGGTTGCACCTCTCAGCATGAAATAGCATTTGTAAAAGTATGATATAAAGCAGAGAGAAATCAGAACTGCAGCTGAACATTTCAGTTGTATTGGGAAAGACTAGGGTAAAGTACAATCTGATTGCATGTCATATACCTTTAATGTGACTGTAAGCTAAAACTGTAATGCTGACACCTGAGTTATATAGTTGATGGCAAAATGGTTTCTTTACTCTTCCAGGCTTTTACTATAGGCGCTATAAAATACACAAAGTGCAGTTTGGCTTTAAGCATCAGACTTTAGTGTCCAAAGTCAGAAGTGTTTGCATGTGTGAGTAAAGAGTACCTGGCATTTACACATAAGCAAAGGAGTTACTGACATGAGTAATAATACGTGAACGTTAAAAAAAATAATCAGGTATTTCTTTTACTACTTGTTTCTGTAAGTAAATGTTTTGATCTAGTAGCAGCTTGGTTTTTTTAGTAAGAATGTTAAAAATGCACTGATTAAGTTTTGAGACCCAATTTCTGCCTTAAAGAATCTACCCTCAAATTTCTGTTCCTCTTGTGTTAAAAACTCTGTCACACAGTAGTTTTTTGGTAGAATCATAGAACCACAGAATGGTTTGCGTTGGAGGAGACCATAAAGATCACCTGGTCCAAACCCTTTGCCATGGGTAGGGACATCTTTCACTTGATCGGGTTGCTCAAAACTCTGTCCATCTTGACCTTGAATACTTCCAGGGAGGGGGCATCCACAGATTCTCTAGGCAACCTGTGACACTGTCTTAACACCCTCATAATTAGAAATTTCTTCCTTATATGTAATCTAAATCAGTGTTTTTCAGTTTAAATCCACTGCCTCTTGTGCTGTCTTTACAGGCCTCGGTAAAAAGTCTCTCTCCATCTTTCTTTTAAGCTCTCTATATATTGAAAGGCTGCTATGAGATTTCCCCAGAGCCTTTTCTTCTCCAGGCTGAACAACCCCAACTCTCTCAGCCTGTCTTCACAGGAGAGGTGCTCCAGTCCTCTGACTGTTTAGTGGCCCTCTTCTGGAATCACTCTGAGATGGGGGTCCCAGAGCTGGATGCAGTACTCCAGGTGAGGTCTCAGGAGAGCACTTGCCCTGATGGTCACCCTTCTTTCTGTGCAGTCCAATATACAATTGGCTTTCTGGGTTACAAGCACACATTGCTGGTTCATGTCCAATTTTCTACCGGGAACCCAAGTCCTTCTCTGCAGGGCTGCTCTCAATCCACCAATCTTACTGATACTGTGGATTGCTTGGACCCATGTGTAGGACCTTGCACTTTGCCTTGATTGACCTCATGAGGTTCACATGAGTCTACTCCTCAAGCCTGTCAGGGTCCCTCTGGATGGCATGCCTTCCCTTTGGTGAATGAACTGCTCAATTTGGTGTCATCTGCAAACTTCCTGAGAGTGCACTTAGTCTCACTATGTTGTTAATGAAGACTTGAAATTGTATTGATGCCAGTTCAGACCCTTGAGGAACAGGGATAATTTCTGGTATCCAGTTGGACAGGGAGCCATTGACTGCAACTTTTTGGATGTGATCATCCACCCCACTTTTTATCTATAGAGTAAGTCATCTATTAAACCCATATCTCTCCAGTTCAGAGGAAAGAATGTTGTGGGAAATTTTATCAAATGCCTTAGAGAAATCCAGGTGGATGACATCTGTAGCTCTTCCCTTGTCCACTGATGTAGTCACTCCATTACAGAAGGCCACTAGATGCATCAGGCACGATTTGTCCTTGGTGAACCCACATGGGCTGTCTCTAATCAACTCCCTGTCATCTGTATGTTTCAACATGTCTTCCAGGAAGATACGTTACATGATCCTTACTGGGCATGGAGGTGGACTGCATCTGTTTATGAAATGTAGGTGAACATTTGAGTACTTGCAGTGTTGACTTGTGTTGTGCAAAAAATAAGGAACGAAAGTGAAGGATGTTTCTAATACATACTTGGTGCTTTCTGATGTGGGGATATGTTTTCTAATTTGGGGATATGCTTTCTGATTTGGGGATAGTGTTGCATCCTGATGAATGTGTGTGTGAAGTGTGCTTAATAAGTACATGTATATAGCTGTAGGGCTATGAAATGGGACCTGAAAATCACAATACACTTAAATGAATGTAGGTCATTATGCAAAAGATTTATGTTCTTTGCTGTCTGAACTGTTGTACTGATCTGACCTGGATTCCACCCCTCCCAATGTCCTGTCTCCTAAGCCTCTGTCCAGTGGCCACTGTCAGAAAAAGCTGACAGACATGTCAATTGGCAGAAACATCATCAGTGCCAAAGTGAACATGACAACCCTTTTGAGGCTAGAAAGGCCCAGCAAAGGCAACCTCTTGCCTGGGTCTCACTCACAAATGTTTCTCCCTTATTAAGGCTGTGTGGAAGTATGTTCCACAGCTTTGTTCTGTGCTTGTGTGAGAAACACTTTGATGTCCCAGGCAGCAGATCTAAAGCAGTAAGCATCTTCTGGAACTTCTCCTGCAGGAGAAATGGCAAATTGTCCCTGGCTAGTAATCCTTCAGGAAATTTCTTCTTTTAATAGATAGTTAGCATAGGCTTTCATGTTTCCTCTCTCAGGATGGAAGCCATTCTGTACTCGTGAGCATCCTGCTGTGCCCCTTTCTCCTCTTGCCTTCTGAGGCTGACGGCAGAAGCCTTCCATACAGACACTCTGTTGCTGTAAGGATAACAAAATTCTGTTTTCTCCTTTCCATGGTCCAAAAACCATGTTTCACTTTTTGGTCAATACCAAATATTAACCTGACATTTACAAAGCTTCTTCTGCAGTGTTTTCCACACAGTCTTGACAGTTAATTGTAAACAAGCTGTGCACCTACCTTGTGTCTTATTTGCGTTTGTAGATGTTGAATTTCGTCTGCTCAGTTTCCCTGGTCACTTCATCCCGAGGGCCTCCTGCAGCTCTTCAGTCACTTTCAGTCTTGAATGTTCCCTTGAATGTAGCTTCATAAGTAACACAAACGTAGGTTTCTTTCTTGTTTGGTTTGGGGTTTTTTTTTGCTTGCTTTTCCAGATTGTGGAGCATCTCAAGTTGTACTAAGATGCAGTATACCTCTTCCTGCTGTTAAAATGTATTATTCCTTCCTCCTTTCTTTCCCCTCAGTCATTTATTAAACCATAAGCACTGAAAACTTCTACATGGTACTACACTCAGTTGAGTAGATGACTCATGCTGTTGTTACGATCCCAGTAGTCAAACAGACCCAGGAGACAGGATCCTCTCTTCAGTAGCTGTGACTTCTCCCATTGTATGATCACCATTTACCCATTCGTCTACCAAGCCTATACAATCTTAAAGCTATAGATTATGGGGTTAACTTTTTGGCTTGTTGATCCCAGACCAAATCTCCTTCCACAGAAAATGTATACTTTTTTATTCCTCTTTTTCAGAAACTGGTCAAAATGACAGGTCTTATGTCATGGTTAGCACTCCACAGTTCCACATTTGGATTCTTTACAAGCATCTGGACCAATATCACCAGACTTTGGCCTTTCCTTACATTATGGAAATATTAATAAACTGAATGCCCTATCTTAGATAAGAAAACAGTCTCTCCGACTAATTTTTTTGTTTTAAATAAGAAAATTATTACATTTTATAGAAGTAAAACATTTTAAAAATGAGGTTTTTTTTCTACTATACCTTTATTTTACATTTATTTAAGATGTGTTCTGCTATGCAATTACTTATTCTACTGTACGAAGGCTGATGCTACATTAAGCATTTACCTACCTTTTGATACGTCTGTTTTCTGAGTTTAAGAATTTATTTGGCTTTTGGTGTTACTTGAATACTTAGGATGCATTCATTATAGTACTCTATGGTGCTTACTCCAGCTTATTAAATAAAAAAACACACTTTCAGATTTTTTCCACTGCAATGGAATTGTTAACTTTCCAAAATACAGTTCAGCAGTGCTTGCCTATCCAGATACTTATTTTTCCAGAGCAAGTTTCTTCCTATGAAACAGCACTTTACAATGTAGGCTAAGCTAAGAATGGTGTGGTATTGTGTGGATCTTTGTGCAATATAGCTGTTTGGTGACTACTGTGTGATTTGCAAAGCTTCTTGCAGGTGTGAATCATGTAGACACTTTTTAGAGATCTAAAGCTTTAACAAAAAGGCCTTGTTTAAAAATATTCTGAAATGTAAATGTGATGTCTTTTTTTTTTTTTTTTTTAAATAAAAGCTGAATATAAAGTATTTTGGCTATCCACATTACTACATACCAGCTCTGATGTACCGCGGTTGGAATAGTATTTCTTCCAGGAGATGACAACAGGTGCATTGTGGGGAGAAAGCACTTCCTTTGGTTCTCAAGTTTTCCCGCATACCAGTGTCTCTAATTGTAGGAGGACTGAAGAGTCTAGTTTGGACTAACTGCTACATCAGGCTTTTACTTCAGATGCTGCTGTTAGGAACTTGGCTGCCTGAGGCCTCCTCTCCAAGTAGGAGAGGAAAATGTGTGTCCAGAAGGAATTCAGCTCTTGGGCATTTTCAAGGAAACCT